ATACCGGCTTTTATGACACAAGTTCGGGACTGTGAAGCCGAAACAAGATGAGGCCACAACGATTTGATTAGTTTACGCGTTTCTCGTATTTCTTACAGCAACATGTCCACTGAGAAGGGAAATGAGTTATTGATGTCCATGAAGTGAGAGCTCGGGCTTTGAAGTAAGAATATATACAAAGCGGCATAGCTATAGTGTGGAATGATAGCTAACGTTCCTAGAATGATAGCTAACGTAGGTAAAAAATATGAGGTATGATAAAAGATGTCAATAAGATAAGCTTTAGTTTGTCACAAGATCTTTCCCGCCGGCTAAGAACACGTAACAAAGCGATAATGGGGAATGCAGATAGCGCATCGGGTATTGGGGGGAAAACCACTATCTTATGCTAAAACGATTACCCAGCTCTGAATTTTGTTGTTTGAGTTTCTCGTTAAAGCCAATGGCAGACCTGAAATGTAAAGCAAAGGAAAAGTATTTTATTATCAGTTGGTAAAGTTTGGAAGCGAATGCATATGGGTCCCCAAACAGCCGATCACATTGATGTTACGTGAAGAGATATTGGAGGATATGTTGACAGTTTGGTGATCCAGCCCTGAGGGATGTCACGGGAGGAGGATCGCGTGCTGCCTCATCAGATCGACCTAACGTTAATGTATCTGTGCAGCGGGGATCAGCAGGGACGTAACTTCACTCTACATCAAAGGGACGCATTTCCCTGCCGCCATACCTCTGTCAATATTCATGGTATCCGCGGGAACACAAACTTTCACAAGGTACATGTATCATAGTTTACCCCATAAACTCTCAAATTGCATTGTTTTGGATTGCTTGGTTATTCATGGTTGACAAATCAAATTCAGAAAAACGATTGTCCTGTCCGAACCTAGATCAACCCAGCTTAAAAAAATACACACATGTATTAACTTTTTCCTGAGGCCGAACCACAACAGAAAAAGTACCGAAATCTATGAATGACTATGTCGATTATTTTATTAAGTAACAGCCAAAAAGGCAACAAACAAACACGTGTAAACGCTTCTGCAGTGATACTAATGATCCACCCGTTAAACTGATAAGAAAACAAACTCGCTGCGTTCTGTCGCGATGCCCTCCCATGAGGCCTAGTCCTACCTGGTCATGAGGGCCGGAGCACGGCTGTAGGAGTTCCGTCCACTCCACCTCTGACGGCGCCTCTCCCACCGCCGCCGCGGCCACGCCCTCCTTCATCAGGGTGGACTCCCGCAGGCACGTCTTGGAGGCGAGGGACGGCAGACTCATCTGTGACGTCAGCTCGCGGAGCTTCAGACTGTACTTTTCACCTTTCCGCCCTGAAAACAAATAAACAAAGGAGCTTAAATTATACCAGTCTTTCCACCTAGAAGCAATGGTGATCAAATAATGAACAGCAAAGGGCTTATCAAAACCACTGGTGCTCTCCTTGGTGCTGAATGCCATCCGTCCAACCACACTTTCGGCGTTCATTCCTCCACTGCCAAAAAGAAGCATAATGGTCTGCACTTTTTCCAGTGTCCCCTTAAAACCTATTCTATGTTATTCATTGTAATTTATCAATGTCTGGTTTCAATTTCGTAACTGTGAAGTTTTTGAAAGAAAACCCTTCACAGAATATTTCACATGAAACACATTTCATATTGTTATTGTTGACATCTGTTGATGTAGATGATATGTGTTTCTTAAAAAAATTGTAAAGTAGGTAATTATGAAAGTTACTTATAAAAGAAATCTGGTCTCCTATCCTTCTAGTCGAGCTCAACTGCTGATCCATTAACAAGATCGTGCCAGGAGACAGAATAATCGGCTAAGTACCGATCCCAACGCTTTATCTGGGTATTTCAGACGTCACGACTGTTCCCACAGCTGTGCGTGGATAATAAGGTTATAGTAATCCGAAGAGCCTTCTATCCGATTGTGTGTAAAAGTGAACGTCGAACTTTGCGTCGCTAAAATACAACATGAAAGGAAGCAACATGATTTGATTCAAACCTATTCATTTCCTCGTCTTGTTCTTTTCACGCGTACACATTTTCAGTTGACTTACAGTTTGAAAGCTGCTTCAGAATAGACATCCGAATCAGCATGAGAAGTCAGGAGGAATTGAGTTTACAATATATACTAATTTCAGGGATGATATCCTCTTGGGACATCAAAATATAACACAAGACTGCGAAAATGAGTTCGTTCCGGTACAAGACGCTTTAGGGTGCATGTGCTCATCATCTTACTTTTTTTAGACAGTAACGACACATTTTCTCATTTTGTTGTAGTTTTAGGTTGATTTGCGGTACCATGTCTCTCGAAAAGGGTTGGAATTCTACATCATCTCGGAAAACAGACTACAATCAATACAGGCATATATTTGCCATGTATTCATTCATTTCAGGTGCGCGGTCATTGCCTTTCAACCCGCTGTGCTGTACGCCCATGACACCGGCTTGTCACAAACTAGTCCTGCAGAACTCCGGGGACGGCTGGTGCCGACATGTCTACTCTGACGGTTACACAAAACACAATTTGTGTGTAGAGTTAAGGCGGGATGGGGGTGCAGGATATACATGCCGCACATAAAATATGTTGCAGATTATGTGTGTCTTGAACCTCTTTGTTTAGTTCTGTCGTTTTCTTGATTTGGTGCCAAATGTGACAAAAATAGCTATATCTGCAGCTCTCAAAGTAGTGTGTATAAAATATTGACAAAGGCAAAGAGATGATGTCTCCTCATTTTGATACCATTAGGGAAATATTGCTGCCAGATGTGCCGCAAACGTTTAAAAATTCAATGTTCGAAGCTTTCCATTCCATCATGTACATGCACAGTAAAGGTCGAGCATGTTATTTCTGAAATGGAATACATCATTTAACTTTATTATATAGATAAACTATAGATTTCTTCCTATCTTTTAAAGCACAAGTGATTGGTGTTGTCCTTGGTGCTGAACGGAGTTCCGTTGAAGCATAGTCTCATCTTCAACGGCTTGTCGCCTTATCTAAATCCCTCAGCTCGACCCGCAGGCAGAGTCTGGGTCGTTTGCCATCAGATAGGCAAGTTGTAGTGGACACGTGGAATAAAGACGTGCTCAAGTTCCCCCTGAATATTTTCTAGTTCGACCGTGAGATGGCAAAATATCCCTCTCCATTAAGGAACTGCTCACATGATAACGCAAGGAATGATTGAGGGGCTTAAGCCAAGTTGATAAACAACTGCTTGGTATGCTTGAATAGCGTTTATACGTATTGATTCGCATTTCTTGACGATGAAGTATCAGCCCACAACATGTCAACTGGCCTTCTTTACTTCCATGGCTTCCATACGGGGTCAAAACAAGGAGGTACGGAAACATCTGGAGTGACGTCTTTGGAGTCAATCGATGTGTTGCTATGGAAATAGAAACCTGTTCTGACATATGTTGCCTATGAAAGCCTGCCGCGAGGTTTGTGTCACAACATCCAATGGTAGACTGGACATGATGTAAGAATTGAACCAGCATGGCGAATAGAAAACCGAGAAGGGCGGAGAAAACTGTTGCCAGATCTTTTAAACTGGTTGTCAGATCAGATCTTCTGTTGTGCCCCAATGGTCAAATAATTAGACGAAGGGATAACGTTAGATGAGATGAAGCGTCCATCAAAATTAGTGGTTCGGTCAGTGAGACGGTACCTGACGGTCCGTCAGATTTTTGTGTTTCTAAGTTTTTTGTCTATTAGGGATGGTTGTACGAGAGTGAACGAGTTAGTGAGGAAACGGTACGGGTTTTTTTTTCATTTCAACATCTGCTCGGAGATGATGAAAGTAATTCTGATCTGTAGTCATGTCTTTTTGGAGTGGGGCAAGGTTCGGAATGCACCATTCCCTGATGCAATACACATGACGTGGGTGGGAGTGTACAGGTGTTTCCCACGATTATCTACTGCGCACGGCACGAGACCCGGACAGACCCCCGCTCCCGTGGGCCCGCCCTCAGGGATGTTCAGATACGATATTTGGACGTGCGGGTGGTTCTGATGACAAGGAGGGATGGTTATTAATTCCTCCGCACCTGCACAGAGCGGATTTCCATTTAAGGCACTGCTCACATGTATACAGATTAATTTTCTTGGATGGCTCTGAACGTTAGATCCTGACTATAAAACGCGAACATATCGTACCGGAAGAAACAATCAAAACACACAGAATCATAATTCTTGGCATATCTCTTGTGGCAACTTGAACACATATACGTTGAGTAGGCATTTCAGACAATACAGAAATATGTCAATCAAATAGACATGTACGCAAGAAAGGCGTAAGAAGGCCACAATTGTAAGGTTTTGGATATACAACGCGTAAATTTTCAACAGTCAAGCAATTTGTCCTCCATGAAATTTTGATATCAAAAGGTTTCAATTTTAGGGTCTATCTTTACAAGCAATGACTTATAGGAGGACTAAACTCTGAGCAAACCAGTAGCCATTTATTCAGTCTGAGGTATCACAAAATATATTATTATGGGAATAGTGATGTGCGGAAGACTCGACAATGATGACTGCGACTATTCTGCGATGTCACGTCGTTCCCTTTAACTGCATTAGGAGCGCTGAGAGAGGATGAAAAACAGGAGGATGCCTGCAGATGAACACCTCCACAGGCGCGCGTGCCTTTTTATGGACGGAAAACCATTTATTCTTGATAGGATTTCTCTTTAAATGTGGACTGCACGAGCAAATACATGTCTTATATACAGCACAACAAAGCAGGAGTTAGATGGAGTCTTTTGACAGCAGATCGTACAAATTGCCCAATTTTGTTCGCAGTGACGTTCTTGTGGCTATCACATGCAAGCACTATTTTAGAGTGGTTAACGCCTTTATCACACCGACATGGAGTGGATCGTCAAGGACACTGTAACGTCACGTGTTGCGCAGACCTGAGGTGTAGAAGTTCTATCTAGTTCTCGAGTAAAAATGCATTGCTCCCGTCGGGTCATATTTCTAACCATGTCAGTATGTACGAAAAAAAGGCAGAAATATTGTTTTTTGATTATCAGTACACCTTTGACTGCGGAAGAAATAAATACATTTGTCGTAGGATTTGCAGTTTCGTTTCAAACTCAGTGACAAACTCAAGGATCATTATGTACATTCATCGTTTTCTAGTTCGAGTATTATGTCCTGCCGCATCATGTAAGTTGGGTGTTAATCGTGGTTAAAGTTGTGGGGCTGTGTCAGTGCTGTACAATCGATCGCGTGACCTCGATCCAAACACCTGTCGCATCACCCCTGCCTGGCTTTACCGGCAGTTATTGTCCTCAACTCAGCGGGAACACGTCAGCTTTTCTCTCTACGCAAAATGTAAAACTAGGAGTAGATAACGGAAACTATTACTCTTCCCCTAGTATACGATTTTCCTTATGTTGTAATTTTATTATTTTAATATGTGCAAATAAAGCAATTTCTAGTTGTGCTCTTTGGACTTTGGACTGTGCATTTTTCTTTGGACAGAAGAAGTGGTGATGCCCCACTAGAGACGCTAGAAAAAATACACATGTACACAAAAAAACAAGCCCGCATATCTGCTTGGAGATTAACAGACAAGTTTTGTTGGTTGAACATCTGTTACAGTTCGCTTCTATTCGTGATCTATAGCAGCCGCTCAGCTCATGCCATTAACTGTACGGAGGTATCAAGGCAAACGGGACTGAATGAGGCGGGGACACGCCGAGGAAATCGGAGCACTGTGAAACACTGAAAGGTTTATAGCGGTTGGGTGCGTGTCATACGTTGATAACATCATGTCACACAAAGTTAATGTGCTAGTTCTCGGACTAAACAAACAAACACAACAAAAATGAACTGGAATATGAACATGAAAATAACCCTAAGATCAATGGAAGCCGTCTCGTCCTCCTGCTAAATCTTAAGTTGATGTCTGAGAGACAAGGAAATTGAATAATGTAATCTAAGCTATCTTTTGGAGGATAGGCAGATAGCGTCTGCAGAAGTTATGGTTCCCTCCGAGCCAAGATCGTACAGTTACAGGCGGATATAGACACGCACAATGTCGTGATTATTAAATGTCAGACGTTATTAAACAGATAAGGAACTGTGTAGTCCGTGGAAATTGATGGTGAAGGTAAGTAGCTCAGTGATCCAATAAAACATCTACTGATCTCCATGGAGCCGCCGGCGGTCGGTGCCGACGTGGGGAATTATAAATCAACTTTATCTGAGCCCGGCTGTAAGTGCTGAGTCGGCGGTTTGTGGGAGTGATGGGGAGGGGGGGTAGGTGCCGAGCCCGTGGGCGCGTTTACTGGTCAGTAATAAAATCAACTTACGTTGATACTAAAATTAAACGTTTCTGCAACGGTTAGATATCTATATACTCTCAGGTTGTTGGCAATATTTCCATTTTCATACTACATTCATAGCATTACCTAATGTAATTGATAGAACAATTCAGAGTCAACGGTCTGTGTGACCCTTTCACATCCATGCAGTTTTAGTTTGTTTTAGTTTTTTTTTCGCATTCTTTATACTAGTACCCAAAACGATTTTTCTGGCAAGTATCGTATCTTGTTGTGAAATCAAATAAACAACAAGATTATTGCACTGTAAATTAAGAATGCATCGTATTAATCAAAGAAATATGTTATTGCAATGTTTGCCTGAAGGCCAAGTGGCGTACATATTAACACTCCAAATACTATATATATTCAATGAAGATCTAGATCTTGACTTGTTGAGTTTTCAAATGAACCGTAATGATGACTCACATTTGTCTCTGCACGACTTGAGGAGGTGGCGGCACCGGGTACTCTCCAACACGATGACGTAAACCGCGGGAAACATGGCGGGACCGGAGGGTAGAACACACCACAGGGTCCACTGCAGAACGGTCTGTCTGATCCTCAGCCCGAAGTACGTCATGGTAAACATGACCAGGCCGGGGACCCACGGGATGGCGATGATCAGAACAGCCGCCCCCATCCGCGCGAACACCGCCGCGTCCCGCTTTATTATTCTCTCCTCCATGGGCAGGGAGGCCTTCTTTAACTGTCCCCTGATACAACAAGGCACTGCGGACAGGCAGACGAAGATGGTCAGTATGATAGCACAGTTTAAGAAGAGAGTGAACTCTAGTTTGTGCTCGGTTTTGGTTCCTTTGGGTAGGCACAAGACCTCGTGATACGTGGTGACAGTCGGCGCGTGGTCCTTACTGAAGAAGATGGACAGAGCTGGAGGAAAGCCGGCTAAGATTAGGGCGGTCATCCACTCTGCGATAGCGATGACTTTGTAGACGGGGAGGTAGTCCTTGCCGCGGCGCATTCTGCGCGGGCAGACCTGGCGGACGAACATGCTAACGGTAATGGTCAGGCTGAGCCAAAGGGACAGCTCCGAGAACAGGATGCCGAGAACGCCCTCTACGTTACAGAGGATCTGTAGCGACGCAGCGGACAGGTGGCCGTTATGGTGCAGGAAGTCCCCCGTCACCAGGCCGGAGAGATACACTACCAGCCCGATGTTAGAGCCCGCCAGATTGTCCAGGAGGAGAGTGTTGACGGCGCCTTCTTTAGGACGGCGCCGGCGGCATAGGAATGCGGCGTTCCCGACCAAAATCAGCCCGGCTACGGTACAGATGGCCACGGTCAGGGTCAGGTCTATCGAGCGGACGGGCGGGGAGAACCCCTGACCGTCGTTGTCTGTCGAATTTGTCTCCATTAAAACTCCTCCATCTAGTCATACATATCGCTACATACACAATCAACAATGCCTCCCGGTGACGTGACCCGTGGAAACGACAGGTTCAAGCACCTATTACCGGCTGCGATCGGCCCTCATAGCCGCCACGGGACCAGCGCACCTCTCCGACAACTCTACACGTTGCCACCCTTCAGCCCAGGTATATCCTTGGCGACGCGTTCCTCCCCTCCGTTCGCCTCCAAGAAGCATTGCCGGCTGGAACAGCAGACCTTACCAGGGCGTGTGCGCCTGTAGTGCCGAGCGTGAGTCAATGTAAGATCATTAGCTCCAGACGCACGCGCCGCAGACTCACATGCAATTCAAATTCCACACAAACAGCACGGTTGGATGAGCTTAATAAACGTAATGAATATCCACATCACAAAAGAGGCATCCGCGCGGGAGGATCGCCTCAGACACGGCTTTTGAAATATTCCACTCTAGTCAGCCATACAGCCTTGACGCGAAAGGCTCCTCTCTGTCGAGCACAGAAAGCAAGTCTAGTCTCTGCAGCAGGCTTCGAGGTGTTGTCAGTTTTTGCCGGCCTCCATACTGTTTCCTTATTGTTACAATATGTTCTGATGGCTCCTGTTTCTCTCCAAAAATGACATCAAATATGGTCCGGGGTAGTAGAAACATTTATCTGTTTGTTTATTGAAACTGCAAATATAAACATTGCGTAAACAAACAAAAATAGCCGTGGTCCTAATGTCTAATTAGCCAAAACTTGCAATATCGAAACGCCAGCCGTACAAAAGCCTGCCATGCAGTCTAACCCGGTAGGCAATTCGCAGATTGCCAATATAACAAGCGCTCCTCTATCTTCTGCATCACTTGTGACCTCTGACATTTCATCGCTTTCCGAAGTAAAGAAACAGGAGTAGTGTCTGCCCGGATGTAATTCCGGTTAGGAAGGCTGGCGGTAAAATTGGACGCCGATTGGGGCGGTTTGGGGGTCGTTATTTACTCTGTCATGTTGAGATCTTGATATTTTTCCAACAAAAGCCTGAAAGCGCCCTCATGCTCCCTGTTGACGTTTGTGATACGTTGAGAAAACCCCGCACAAAGTAATCCCTGAATAAGATGAGTTCAGCAAGAACCGAGGGACGTTAATGCTCAGGTTGTGTTGCTTTAATCCTGGAAAAGGACCTTATAATTGTAGTGCAAACTCCGCCAAGGACAACCTGAGCCATTCTACAAGCCTGCCTCGTTACGGGATCTTGTCAGAAACAAATTATCTGCCGGGCAATTATTGGGATCGATCGTTTTTACCGCCCGCGGCCTTTAAGAATAACAACGGTAATCCTGTGTCATTAATAACCGGGCTGAACAGGGAAACAGGCGCGGTTTAGCCTCCACAACTTTTCTGCTGTGTTACTATCAATACTACCGTTTCCCGTTGAACCTCCTGTTTCCCTATAGTAATAGCTTTCCAATGGCTCCCGTTCCTACGTGTCCTACGTATACACATTACACAGTCAAATGCTGCTGGAGATAGAAGCCACAAGAAGCAGGTAGTTATAGGAAAACAGGACGCAATCAGTAAAAATATCCCCACCGCGGAGTCTGATTTGTAGGCTAGCCTGTCGCTACCCTATGGCGCACCCGCTCTTTTTCTTAATTGTATGATTAATGCATTGACAGACAAATAGCAACACAATAAAAATTTATTGGCGCGCATTGCATTGCTGAAATATTCATATTTCCGGCCACTTATAAAAGTTGTAAATTTTGCTGTGGTTTTACGAGGCACTCGGGCCTTTTTCGTCTGGAGTTATCTCAAAGGGAAATTGTGCCACTTCCAGAAACCAAAACCACTTACCTAGTCATGTGTCAAACCTGGTTTGTGTCACTTTACGGTAACTGTTGACATTTATGTGGACTGTTTTGTTAATTTGTTTATGGCCATACTTGTGCGTATTCCCACCGGGCGTATTCATCTCTTAGGACCCAGCCACAATCGCCGTACTCGTACGTTAGGTTTACGATATCAACATGAGGGCATTCCTGTGGCAGTCCTAAACATTCAGCCGTCTTGGGACGGTAAACGTTGACGTAGATCTTTGCCGGAACAGCCTGTCATGGCGGCACTGAAAACCCTGCCAGAAACAGATCGCAGGACGAATGTGACCACAGATGTACATATCCGTAAATATTCAGTCCCGTTTTCTAACTACTGGTTTTCCCTGACTGTGTGAGTGGTTGTCACAGTAACCCGGCTGTCAGAAAACGTTGCGATCTTCTAACCCAACATCTGCTTGGAGATCGGCATGAGTCCGGAGAATGCATCCAATCAAATGGACCATTTATAACCAGCGCCTCTAGCGGTATCGAGTGTGACTACAGCAGTCACCTGTTGTTAACATTCTCAGAAGTTTTCCTCGCGTGATAAGCATGAGGCGGATTTCACCGTCGGAAGTCTACGGTGTCACAGTGATATCCAATCAGATACATGACTCCAACTTTTCCTACGTCTTTTAGGCGTTTTGCTTGCTTTTTAAGTTTCATTTTGTCAAGCCTGACAGAGACTTGTGTAGAAACTGGCGTTTTTACCTACGGGGAAGTTTTGGGCCCCGTTTTAGATCAAAATGAGCAAAGGCGTGAGTAGAAGATAGTAAATACACAAACCCTAACCTATAAACCTAACACCAACCTAACCTTAACCCGACCGGAGGAGTGCCTGCCCAATCCATGATAAATTGGATCAGAGTAGGTTGAATGAACGTCCTTGAGTCGATAGTTTTTTTCATTCATCAGTTAGCAATTTTTATGGTCAGGATTGTGCTTCAAATTAGCCTGAAGTTACTACGAACACACTGTTAAAGAGGCGACAAGTTAGTTGAACGTCAAACAACACAGAAGAAAGTACCCTTGAGGAGAGAAGCAGTGTTTCAATAGTCCTCAACATTATGTGTTATATACAATTTCCGGAGGTTTCGAATCTCAGATTTCTCGCTATCTATTCCTTTCAGTACGAAAACGCTCACCAGTTGTAGAGAGACATAAAAAATCGCCTTAGGCGTGTAAAACAAGCCGGAGCCATACATTTACTTGGAGATTAGTCTCTGCACTCTTGTCGCGTCAACAAAGTTTCAATAGTAAATGGCCGATAGTTAACTCAGTGTAACAATACCTGCCATGTAAGCGAGAGTGGTAATCTAGCCGGGAACACACACAGTCACGACCGGTCGCCAACCCGTATCAAAAGTCCATCAGTCACCTTTAAAAGCCCTTTATCCAAGGCCGTATTTTACGTATCCAAAGCAGACCCATTGCCATGTTGTTTCACATAGTCGAACGCTGCCCAAACACCAACACGATACTGATCAAACATAGAAAATCGCCATAAATCAGTGTTCTGTCCTGTTGGCGGGAAACCCGAGCTTGTGGTGCCTTTCATCGGAACTTACCCGATCCTACCAACATGTGATGAGGCGTTTCTTCAACACCCAACCGACGTGCGAGCTGAAAACTACTGCGCAACACGAAGGTCTACGACCTCTTCGAAAACACTCCGGTCACAAAGGAACGACAAACATACTTGGAAACCCGAGAAAAACCTGTGATTCAAAGGCCTTGAAAAGAAGAGTATAAAAAATCAGCGACTGCATTGACCGGAACAAACTGTACTGTCAGTCGTGTTAGCTGAAGTTGGGCAAAACATCACCAAATCATCTGCCATTTCTTCCACACAAAAAGATAATCTACGGATGCCTTACACCTCATCCTGGTGAGTTTTCTGTTGCTTTAACATCGCTATAGATCGTAAAGCGGGATCATGGGTCTTTGCTTGCAGTAAACCTCCTTAATCACACAAGCAGGCAGCAAACTGCAATCAAAACGTCAATCATAGACTGCTACAGACGTTATGTAATCAAAGGCACACGCGGAATGTTACTCACTTTGAAATTTTACATGTGTGACTCGGTATGAAGGAACTTCGAAGCGGAGGTTGTTCCTCATACCAAGCGGGTTATATGTCCTTACTGATAATTTAGTTAACTGTCCTTTTCTCACGCTGCCGTGTGGAGAAATTCAGACATTGTTATTCAAATTCAGTCTGGTTTATTCACCAAAGTAACGCTACAACAATGTGTAAACTTCATGCAGCCAAGGCAGCACCACTTCAGTTAGTTAGATAACACTAGTACCACTCTTTCATACCCCAGCTAACGTTTTGGAAAAACAAACAACTGATCAGATTGCTGTTGCCTTAAAGAATAGTCAAACGTTACACCCGCACGCGAAACTGCTGTTGGAAGATGATATACTGTAGCAGGTAACGGAAAATTCTTCTTTAGCAATATGTGAGGGCGCTTTCATGAGTTCTTCAAGGTTTTTTACCAGACGTGACCCTCGACCGGCACCGGCGTCCTTTCAACTTGACCGGAAACGACCAGGGGTCGCCGCTCTTTATATAGGGGAGTAAATCTAGATGTTGTTTTTCCCTACCTACCATTGAGCCATCTGTCACACCCCGTGTATCATATATAGAAACTCCGGGTGAGACGAATGTATAAATGATCTGTCACCAGGGGTATTCAGCTTAGTTACTAGTTGGATGAAGCAACGACGCCGGTGTGAGGACATATAGATATACTAGTATATGGCACGGTTCTTGCCTTATATCTGTACTTCTCACTGAAATAAGTTCACTAACGGACTGCACCATGCACGCCATTCACAGAGGCAAGAATAAGCACCCGGGACAAGACTTCGGAAACTCGCTGATGATGGCGAGCTCCTTCCCGAGCGTGCTGTCCCCGACGGGCGGCGAGCGCGACCCGACTCTACCCGGGGACTCCCCGGTCATCGTCATCCCAAAAACCGCCGACACCGTCATGAAGGTGATTTTTATATTTTTTTTAAACTCAATTTGGCTTTTTCCTTCCGTATCTACATAATGATGTTGGAGGCGTCTCTGTCCTTCCCCCCAAACATTATCATCATTATACTAGCAATATCATCATTACTATCATCTTTATATTTATAATTATAAGGTGCGGCACCAGAACGACATCCAGAACCGCAGGCGTCAGGAGGCGGTGAAATCGGCGCAGCTCCAGAGAGACGCCGTCATCAAGTACCTGACAGCAGAGCAAAGGCGTCTTCAGGTGCGCCTTGCGCAGCTAAGGTCAAAGACCGCCGCGGTTACCGGGTATCTGTCGGACGGGGGGACGCCGAGGACAGGTAGGAAGGCGCAAGGCCATGTCCAGGAGCTGTTCATTTCCCAGCCACAGCGAGGAACGACCGCTCTGAGTGATCGGCCCAGGACCAGACAGAACACGTCTCCGCCCAGCACGGCACCCGCGCGGCCAGTTTGCGCCACAGCCAGAGACTTCACCACAAGGCAGCGTTTCAGCGCTGGGAAAGAGAACGATCCGGTAACGCACGAAGGCACCCTTAGTTCACGAACGCAGTACCGAGACCACTACCTGGTCAGCACTCCGCCGAACATCCGGCGCAGGATCGTCGGACAGACCCGTTCCCTCGTGCCGCCCTCGCCGCTCGCCAGAACGACATCTCAGTCAGCCGAAGAGGTACGGGCCGCCAACCAACCCCCCGGCAGCCCCGTGCCTAACGGTCTTCACCGGGCGAACTCTTCCGATGAACATCTGTACGACCCAGGCTCACCGAAAACGTCCCGGTTATCCCCAACTGGTCTTGACGCTACAAAAAACTCGCCGACGACGTTTCCTCCCATCCACGCGCACAAGTCTGCCAAGAAGGTGTCCGACACGGAAGCGTGGAGAATCCACAACTTAGCGCGGGAGTACCTGAAACAGCCGGACCTTACTCTGTCACCTCCGCCACATGGCCAAGAAAAGTGGGCCCACACACTGTCTTCTTACCAAACTAACGGAGGACAAGACGCCGACGCACCTTCACCTGCAAACGACGATGCTGTGGAAGCCGGGAGCCAAGGACTGCGGCCGCCGCCGATGTGTTTTGAGCTGCACTTCGGGTCTCCCTGGGAGCGTCCAGACTCGGGCAGGAGCTGCGGCTCTACCTTAAGCGCCAACGGTTCCTTCTACTCGGAGATGAATCAAGACGAGCTGTTGGTGCTACCTCGCAGCCGGGCGCTCGCCTATCTCCACCCGAACACCTGTGTGCAGATGAGACCGTCGGAAATCGTCTCGAAGATCGAGGTGGCGACGGGGAAGACGGGGATCATGGCGTGGCTGGGGGAGGGCTCGTCCGGAATGGGCCGCGCCATGAGGGAGACCGCACTCCGCAAGAAACACGAGTAATGTCTTCAAGGTGTTCATGTACTTCTAGTTAGGTACGGACGTATATCTTGCTTTTATTTTAAGACATTTCAATTAATTGTTGTTGTGATTCACTATTGGTAAAATGTAGGTCAACAAACGTCCTGTCAATAGTTACAATGATGTCCATAGGTTAGCACTATTTTTTGGGTCTTTTCGCTCCTTTTGTACGTATTAAGGAAGCACATTCTTATTGGACGCTTTTACAGACATACATATTGAGAAAAAAAACCCAGCAAAAACAAGACACATTGACTGATAAGCTAGTTCTGTTGCCTTCCTGGAATGAACAGACAGGATCAAAAAGTGTTTCTGATGTACATGTATCAGTGATTTAATCAAGTTCATTGGTTTCCCTAGATATGCTCAGTTTGACTGACAACAATGTAAACATAAAGTGCTGAGCACAGGTAATCCACAGTAAGTTTTTTTTAATATCAGATTCTATATAAATGTATATTTCAATAATAAACAGACTATTGCAGTGTTCTCCTGCCATTGATTGTTATAGAACGGTTTTATATCATGGTGGTTTTACATGTACACATAAAATTTTAGTCATGCTTGGACAAAGATTATCAGCAATGATCCATTGTTTCTTTTAATACCTATAAACTATATCATTGCTAAGAAATGGGGGATGTTAGGATACCTTGATCTTAAATCCTAAGATATATATCATATGACATAAGTACCAGAGATGAGAGTCCCAGTAACACCTGTCAGTGCTACATGTATCTGTCTGTCTTACAGACAGGGTTGATAACATCTTTATCAGACTGGTGGGAATTCTATATCTCTGCTATCTGTTTGAAGTAGTCTCTGTTGGTTGACTTAAAGACAGAGCAGACAGCATCTTGATAAGACTTGAGGTGGGAAGACTTAATTCCTTTAGTCTCAGCACCAGCTCAGGAACACTGAGGGAGCCTGTAAGGACGACAGTAACAAAATACCCCCTTTCTTATCAATGATACAAAAAAGTAGTAAAACCAATGATAGTTACTGACTAAATTGCAGTTCATAATACCAATATTTTGACCCCCAAAATTGCATGTTTTACCTGCTATTTCACAATCTTATATACAATTTGCAGGTGCCTGTGAGTATTTTGAAACCTTGGGCCCAATATGGGCGGCAGTAATACAATACTTTGTTTGTGTGAACTGATACAAAACCCGACAAATGGCAGCAGGGGATTACAAAACATGATAAATGGTCGGGGGAAACCTGAAAGGGAATCAGGTCAGGGTCGCAACAATACCTGCTGTAATAGTTCAAGGCACGCTCCATGTCTCGTGCACATTCCAAAAACGTGAGTTGCACGTATGAGATTACTTAGTCTTTGTCATGTTTTTCTGTCCTTCATCAAAGGAACAAGAGGTGACGAAACACTGCCCTAAAGAAAACAAACCATGCGCTGGGTGATAGGGTTCACAACACCTATTAGAACATTGTTTTTTACTGAGATGATATGCAAGTGTGATAAGGTTCACAACCAGCCATTAGAAAGCTGTTTTTAACTGCACTGATACAAGACTGAATGCATTGGAGGGTGTCCTATGAAATTCAAACCCTATACTTAAGGCCACACCAATTTAATTTGTTGGTTCTCGGATTTTTTCAGAAAAAATATGAAGCGACAGGGCGAAAAAAAATAAAAATAAAAACAGGTCTAGGCATCCTATTATAGGCTTAAATGCTATGGAATGAGCCATGAAGTCAACACAAAATGCTGGGTTAAAATTTAAACATTGAATTTTGAACTTTTAATCAAACCACTGCAATGATAGATGGGAAAACTGTAACAACTAGGAAGAAAAGGACTTTCCTCAACTGTTGGGGGCAAAACATGAGCATTTTTCAGTTGATTCAGGACCAGAATCAAATTTTTTTTTTTTGCAAATCAGAAAAAAACGAAGAGGCGAATCCGAGAACCAACAAATTAAATTGGTGTGGCCTAAGCTTGACTGGCCTGATGTCGAGAAGTGGGGGAAGGATAAGAGGCTTGTAACAGAAATCATGTATAAAGGAGAACACTTCACAAACTAAAACTTGTATAATTGTCAGTTCCCGACATTAAGCTGACTAAGGTTTATGTTACATTTTGCAGCAGCTTGTTTACAGCTTTCCATGGCTACTAATTACCCTGGGAAAGGCAGAGGGCTCAACACTGATTTGTCTTAATTGTTTTAGCAAAGTGCAGATGTCTAATGACTGCTAATGACTAGACCATTGTGGCAGTTTTTATTGTGAGGAATGATAGAGTGAAGTATGAATGTTAAGGTAATGTGTAGGTAGTAAGCTATACACACAAACACACTCGACATACAATAGATCTGAACCAGAGCCAACTCAATTGACTGGGAGAAGCATCAAAAACAAGTTCTTGTTTGAGTTTCTGACTACAAGCGTATTAGCAAAAGCAAGTAGTGAGCCATCTAGGGAAGATGCAAGCACTGTGGTATTTCTGATAAAATTGTCACTGCTACGCCACACATACCCTGGAATCCAGAACTCGTTTTCCGGGCCGCAAGAGCCGTTCGCCCGCTGGTGTAAATTACTGCTACGGGGAGTCTAGCCCGGGCTCAACTCCCCCGTAGCGGTAATTTAGATAGGCGGGCAAAGGGCTCTTGGCTGCCGAAGGAAAACGGCTAACGGCCCGATACTAGTTTTGGCATCCAGGGTATGCCACACAAGGTTTGGGCCTTATGAGGCACCAATTTTTTTCCCTAACTTGCCCATACACTGCCTCATTCTGCTCATTCAACACATATGGAGTTCTAGCCTACTACCTACCATCTGTTGCCATGGAGATGCCTGCCTGTACCAGCTGGTGATGAGGAGGAATGCTGTAGAACACCAGGAAACAGGACAGCAGGCCATCGTCGGGGGCAATGACTCCTTCACGGACATACCTCCTAACAGCATGGCCAGAGCCTAAAGGCAATATAGGCAGGCAGACATCAGATTTATGTAGCAACAAAGTACTAAAATCACCAAATGATTAAAAATATGTGCACATGTATCTGGATCCTAATATTTCCCAGTACAAGTGTATTTCATCCTTCTTCCTCTTTCCACAACAGAGAAACAATGGACATGTCCTTTATTTTATGACGTTGCACTACTGTATTGCCATGGACAGGAGTTCTGTCCTGCATTAATGCAGCCAATTTTGTATTGTTTATAACACCCCTTTCCATTACACGGCTAGAGTGGAGGATGGCACAGGATCAGTGGCACCTACTTTTCAGCCATTGGTCCAGGCAGCTGTCAATCTTACTCCTCATGCTGAGTAAGAACTCGTCACTTAGCAACGGCCTGACCCTGTCGTCACCTTGTTGTTGGGCTGCCTGATGGAAGGCCAGCAGCAGCTGCACCTGGGCCAGCTGTAAGGAGCTAGGACACACCTGCAGACTGTCTACCACCTGCAGGAGGAGATGGGGGGGGGGATCGTGACAGTCAGGAATCATCAATGGTCAATTGCATTACAGTTCAAAACAGATTAACTAGGAAAAGCATTACTGCAAATGGACCAAGCCCAAAATGTAATGTATCTTGAACTATCTTGTTCACAAATGACTGAACCAACAAACCAGTTAGCCAATAAACCCTGGTGAAAACACAGGCTCTTTCATAAGGCATTGCCTTGGTTGTGTTAAGTAGAAAGGAGAGGTGTGTTGATACCTGCATGGCTGCCAGGTGTGTGGGCACCAGGTCAGGTTTCTCCTGGGTAATGCACTCATACAACAGGGAGGCCACACAGGACAGCTTCTCCTGCTCCTGAGCAGGTGTGCACAGGTGGGCAATAAACACAATAGAGAAAACAAAGGTTCCTCACACAACTCCTACAATAGACTGTACACAACATCCTAACAAAACAAGTGGTCAATAACAGCTCCAGTGCCAAAGAAATTAATGTTTCACAAGAATTCTTATTACTGGTGTGGAGATGTGGAGGTCTCCATACTTAAAACATTTGTGAGTTTACTTGAAGTGCAGGAGTGGGGAATTGGTGTTGACTGGTACAAACCTTTTCTGTGTCTGTCTTGCCTGTACAGAAGTAGTCAGCAAATGCCTCAACATTAGGGTCTGACGAAAAGGACTTCACCTCTTCTGTCTGAAATACAATATAGACAGAAGATGACTTACAGTAATATGGAATATCAAGAAGGCTGGTTTGTGAAAAACACTGTTTATCAAGTTATACTCTAGCAAAACATACTTAAATGGTTAGATTCACCTTACGCAAAACAGATTCTATGATGCTACCTTGACAGACATCATTCAAAACAAATGTTTAATACATACTGTAACTGAGTGGTGTCTTGACTCTCCACCAATAGAGCTCTGAGCAAGAAGACTTCTGAAGCCCTGAAATGTAAGATATGCTGGTCTCGACATTCTGCAAAGCTGGAGTACTATGCCAGAAGGCAATAACATCAGTAACTGTTGATTCATACAGACAGACACCAAATGTACTGTTAAGCAGTTTCTTACAACACTAAACACAGTGTCTGGGATCTATACCTTTGGATCATCTGAGAAGGACATGTGACCAGCTCTCTGTTTAACGTACACCACTCCTCCATTCTTGAGAAGTTCCCTGGATGAAAGATATCAACAAAAGGTGCATTTTCAACAAGGATAAAATAAAGATAAACCTGTTACCTCACATTACCAAAGTGATGGCAAAACACAAGGAAACTGTTGCTGCTGACAAAAACCAAATAATACCTGAGCATGTCAGCATTCTTTTGGGTGTCGATGGTGATTGGCCAGTATCTGGGGCCCAGAATGGAAAGCTGGAGGAACAAGATAACAATGTGAATAATAAACATCCAAGAAATACCATTATTTCTACCTCTTCTTCTGAATTACTTTACTTGATATACTCCTGTCTATTCAGTAGACAGCTAAACATTGTGTTAAGGAGAAATAGAAATCCCCATTGTTACATTTTGAAGTAGAGTTTGGTAACCTCGACATGTTACCACACATTATAAAACGATTGTGAACTAGTTTTTATACAAGAAGCCTTCCTGCTGCACCTGTCTGAGTCTGCTGATCTCGGGGAGGATGCTGGGAGCCATGGTCTCCACACTGCACTCTTTGTGCCAACTGGGTTTCCTGGGGACAAAACAGGGGCACACCGCAGTTCTACCATTATGCTGTCATGGTATTGAATTTAGGATTATATTTTCAAACGAAATTCCTTTAGTGACAGCATTTAAAAGAATAGTTAAAAAGGAGGTAGCAACGATTATGTAATGTTCAGTCCTGTATGTAGTGGAGTTATACCTTGAAAATAAGCTGCAGTTTTGTGTAGCAGGCCTTGTTGGTATCCACGTCTCGTGGCAGCAGCAGTCGTGGCTCTGCAGCCAGAACATACAGGTGTCTGAGGGCCTGCAGGTGGTACCTGAACACCACAGCAAAAATGAAGAGCTAAAGCTTGAACTGGTTAGATAAAATATTTATACTGGAATTTTTGCAAAATCAGCCTTTGAAAGAGGCTCAGTCTTGGTAACTGGCCTGGGTACCATACCTTACATCTGCTATAATAATCACTATACATTTATGTACCATCCTGGGTACCAACTTGGTGACTTTATGTGTAATCCTATGGTTACCCCAGTTGTTGTGTAGTCACTATAGGCAGTGGATGTAAAATAACCAGGATTGTATCTTGGCTAGTCTCCACTCCTAGTCTTATGTGAGGCCTGTAAGCTATTGTATGCTATGCAGAGTCATTGTAAGATTGAGCTTACCTGTTGTCATTACTGTGAGCAGGGTACTTAGGGAACAGAGCACACAGCAGAACAGCTATAGACTCAGGGCTGGTGTTCAGGGAGTATCTACAGAAACAAACTTCACTTGTATGGTATGTTTCATACAGGCACAACAAACAGGTAAATTTCAATTACATACAGTAATTAATATAAAACATATTTGCTGTTTTTCATCAGTTACACTTTCTTAAAATTCTCGTGCTATGATAACCCCAATGGTGACCCCCTAGCTAACACTGACCTTCCCCCTCCCAGGAACAGCAGTCCCAGTGCAGAGTGGACGGCCATGTGCATCCCGTAGGTGATGTCCGGCAGCATGCGGTGGTGCAGGTGCCGACAGATGCGCAGGACGCCCAGGTCACCCGTCCCTGCCATCACCAGCGCCAGAGAAACCACAATCACCACAAGGCAGGCTTCCACAATGTGCCGGCCAGCCTGGGAAAAAAAGTCAAGAAATCAATCTTAATCTGCAAATACATTGCACATACTTTGCAGCTGAACTGTGTATTGCTTATCATCATCATTTAAAATCAAACCAAAATCAGAACACACAAAACCTGACAGCAAACCTACCTGCTCAACCAGGGACTGCTTCCTTGTCAGCAAGATGACATCATTGGCAAAGGAGAACTAGAAAACAAACACACAATGAAGGCAAGACAATACCATGATGTAGAACTAAGCACCACAATGTGATAATATTGTTGTGAAATTAATGTTGAAAAATGATGAGTGTAGTAAATATTCCTTTCTTAAAGTTATTTGCATTCTGTCATCAGATTTGGTGCATCCATTCACCATGTCTGCCTGTTTGTCTTAAAGTACAAAAGGATTACCAGAGTCTGGTAAGCTTCCTGGTTGGCTGTCCCTGCAAACCTGAGGCCCAGGACCAGACAGGCTCCTGCCACGATGTTGGCCTTGGCTTGACTGGAGTCAAACAAAAGTGTCCTCATGAGAATAAAAGTCTTGTTTATGTAACTTAGTGAGTAACAATGTGAACAACTGGTACAAACTGGTAGTGTAACTTTTTAAAGTTAAACAATGTGTGCTTAAAAGCACACATTAGTACCCACCTGACTGTCTGATAGTCTATCCCCAGGGCTGCAGCTTGTGCTTGCACCTCTTCTTTCTTCTGTTTGAAGGCGAACTGCTCCACAATCTGGGAGGGAGAATATCTTTATGAAATAACAGCTTATAGTCGTGGTGCTAGTTCATTTTTTACTCAGTAAGCATAGAACTGGATTACAACACAACACAAGACCTGGTGAAATGGCTCAAACTGCCTTATTCAGCTTCTACTTATGAAAACAGCTTACTGGCTATGTGATACAAACCAAGGCTTTCATCATACCTTGGGAATATTTCCCCAGATCCACTCCTTAGTGGGCTGGATACTGTCCCACATGACTAGTCCCTTGGCAATCACCTGAAAGTGCCAGAAAAAACAAAATGAAATATCCTAATAAATCATGGCCTTACCAAGAAAAGATAGACAATAAGTCAAATTTACCCACTTTCTCATCATATTTGGCCACTATGCCTGAAATACAGCACTTCATCTTCTGATTTCTAAATATATATGCTTGTTAGACAGACATATTTGGAAACCTTTTGACAAAAGCAGGGCTTGATGCAGTACACCTACCCTGAGCATGAGGAAGTCTGGCCTGACAAACTCCAGGAGGAACTGTGTGTCGGGAGGACACAACCACTGGGCAACAGATCTGTGCAACAAAACATTGGAGCAGTGGTATGGTACACAATCACTGTCTTCATTGTATCAATCTTGTTATGTGTCAAACTAGGCATGATGGTTTGCCTTTAGTAAGGTCATACCAACTCATATTGTTGGTTCTTTGATATTGCTTGATTTTCCCTTTGATAAAAAGGTGAAAAGGTAACTTTTACAACAGTAAATGGGAATAAATCACAACAAGTGCCTTACTGGTTGTTAGTCCGGAAGAACATCATGCCTAGAGCTATGGTTGCCCCTGATGCCGTCACATCGATGTTCACCTGGTCTCCCTCCTAGGAAACAAAGCAAAAACTGTATGTTACCAGTAACATTCATGGGAGAAATTGAGGTGATCTTCATTGCAAGTAGACAAAAGTAAAGAATTTAAGGAAGACAGGAAAGAACAACAAATCTTCACCTTGATTGAATAACTTGGAGACTTAAACTTATCCTTTTGTGGTCCCATCTGAAAAGTAAAATGAACAGGAAAAGATCCTTTGGTTATTCCAAGTGTTACAGGCATATCCAGGCACACAACGTCACTATATTTCTTGCCATAGTGTGCAGTCAAGGCTGTGGATTTATATATTAGGTACTTGCTACCGGTATAAAAAAGTAAAAAAAAACACATCCAGGTAAAGTACAGACTCCACTGACCAGTGGTTTCTTGTGTCCCCCCACCATGAAGTGGTACAGCTGGTCAGCCATGTTCAGATCAGCCAGGCCCCCACTTTCTCCTCCAAGCTGTAAAACAACAAATCTCCTGTTTTTATTGTCATCTGGACTGCCTCTCAAAGCAGATTGTTTGTGATGTTCAAAATGACAAGTAAAAGCAGTACTCCATCCAGTTTTTTTCTACATCTGCAGTGCCTGATTTTTTTCTAAAGCAGTATCTCATTTGTGCATGCTGAATAGCAGCAAACATCTGCATGATAAGTTGTGTGGCAATAATGCAGGACTTACTCCAAATGTCACCATGCCCAGGGCCAGCCCGGCTGCTAGTGAGTAGGACTCCCTGTCTGTGCAGTTCTCCATCTCAGGGCCAGGGGGCCTTCCTGCACCAACAGTTAACAAACTGTGACATTCTGGTCAAAGTTGAAAGAAATGTTTACTAGTGTAAAACATAAGAAAACCGATACCCCTGGTATACCAGCCCCTCCCCATCACCATGGCAACTCCATCAGCATGGTAACCCCATCACCATGACAACCCCACCCACCTATCTCCTGCAGCAGGACCTCAGCCATGTGCTTGTGTCTGGTTCCCTGGTACACCAGCCCCACCCCCATCAACCATGGTAACCCCATCACCATGACAACCCCACCCACCTATCCCCAGCAGCAGGACTTCAGCCATGTGCTTGTGTTCGGTTCCCTGGTACACCAGCCCCACCCCCATCACCATGGTAACCCCATCACCATGACAACCCCACCCACCTATCTCCTGCAGCAGGACCTCTGCCATGTGCCTGTGTCCAGTTCCCTGGTACACCAGCCCCACCCCCATCACCGCGGCGACCTGTACGTTGTGAGCGATGTCCAGCTCAGTTGTTGTGGGGATGAGCAATGCCGGCACGTGGATACTCAGCATCCTGGTGGTGGCTGCATCCATTGTGCCTCTCCTGGGGGGAGGGGTGTTGTTAGCACTGGATTCATGTTTTCTAATCAAAGACTTAGATACTATGTTTATATCTTATGTAAGCAGCTGTTACTGGGAAAAGATGCCCTCTGGAATGGAATGAAAAATCATCTATAAACAAAAACTTACTTCGCAGCTGCCACCCCCAGCAGCACCCCTACACTGGTGAGTTCATGACCCCTGTTCAGGTAGTCGTGCAGGTTCAGAGTGTTCAGGTTGGACAGGTAACCGTTCAGACCCAGCGCCATCAGGAATCCTGCATGCTCATTGGTCAGCTCAGCACTCTTTGGTTTGTTGTAGACGATCCACGAGGACTCAATCTGACAGGAGATGGGCAATGATGGTGAAAAATACATGGTATAGATTTTAAGTCTTTAAGAGGAAATTAGTAAGAAAGGACATTTTCTTGCATCATATTTTCCTTGGAAGCAAATAATTTTTTCCTGGAACAGAAATACATATATGATTTGATTTTACCTTTGATGACTCGGGAGCGACCTTGAGTCCTGCTGCGACCCCGTTGTGGAAGGATGGCCACATGTTCATGTTGGTAGGAACCTCTATTCTAGACAGCTCAATGGTCGTGGTTCTAGGAGCATTGGACAAATAGCAACAGCCTGTAAGGTGTCATCACTAAAATTACCAGCCTTTTTAAAGGTAAAAATATGTGTTAATAATATATTTTCTTGGGTCACAGAAAAGAATGTTTTTAGATCGTTACAAAAACTGCTACAGTGTCTACAAAGTATTGGCAGCACAAGACAGCCTTTCACCTACCTGGGTGCCGGAGCCTTGCCAGTCAGGTTGAGTTTGGGGATGGGTAGAGGCTCAGTCAGGACCGGGTGGTAGGTGCACAAGGTGAACATTCCCCTGTTTAATAAAAACAAACTGCTTTAACTTCTAAAACTATACAATACTGTATAGGCTGCAACAAAGTCTAATGACCAAGCAAAAATCAAATTCTTATACATATAATATATAATCTAAATATCAAGGGACTTGTAAGCTGTAGGGAGGAAGTGTCTTTCCAAATTTAAAGTGGCCTGATGCAGATCAACGTGACCTTCCAACAAGCACACTTAATGTTACCACCTTGAAGTACAGAATGAGCCATGTGGTGGTTTACTACAGATACAGATTCTAGTGCTGACCTTCCCACAGGCAGAGCCATGGTCCTCTGACACACAGACAGCAGCTTCATCTCCTGCTCCTCCAGGTAGTCATGGTCACTGGGGAGGATGGGTCCATGTGAAAATGAATGTTCAAGCAGTAAAGATTTTCCCAAAATGACATGATGTGAAACTACACTACAAAAGATCAGTGGTAAAGTGAATGTACAATGATAGTGTGGTTGATAGAGATTGTATGTTGAGACATTGTACCTGACTTCAGGTTTCTGCACCACGTGCACCGTGGCAGGTTTAGATGACTGCAGCAGTTTGCGAACCTCCTGGACCCGCAGGTCGTCTGGGAACCTCAGCTTCAGCAGCTGGGGAGGGGGGAAAAGCAATACCTGTGACAGACTTCTCAAAATATTTGTCCATCTGGCATTATCAAGACAACAAGTGGGATTTCTTCCTTACAAAGAATATGGAGATGTTGCACATTCATTCCATGCAAAACCTACTAGACGTGATATACAGTAGCCCTCATCATGCTTGGAATAGATAATGATAAATAAAATTAATTAACAGTCACCTCTTGGTCAAGGGTAACCATCCCATCATCCTCTTCTGTTGCTGTGAATAAATTCTGGCAAGAAGAAGGAATTTTAAAATCACAACATATTACTTCATTCAATGAATGGTCTAGTGCATCCAGTGCTGCAGTGCATCCAGTGTAACTCAAATCACTAATTCATTATTACTCTTTTATACATCTACATGTATTATAGTACTTACAAATTCTGTCATTTCTAGAGGTGACATAACAGCACAAATAGCCAAGGTATAAATCATTATGATGTAGGCAGAAGTGGTACCTCCTCTGGTGTTGTTTTGACAAGTCCTTTGCCCTTAGACTTCAACTGCATACCTAAACTCTGCTGACCTACATAGAGGACAACAGAATCAACTATTTATAGTACATGTACTACATTGTATATACTGAAATCAAGTTGCACCAGGATTTCACTGCAAACTCTTGATGAAGCTCAAAACATACATAATTCTACAACACAATGCCCATGACTTGACTTACTTCCGATGAGTTTGTACGCTGCAGCGGGGAAGTCTGTGGGCATGCTGCAGCGACACTCGTGGATGGCCACCCGGAGAGGAAGGGCAACACCAAACGGCAACATCTCCAGATCCTCCGTGGTCATCCCGATCTCCGTCATGTGTAGCACAACACGTTCTCCCAGCCGGTACTTCTGTTTAAAGTTGAGGCTAATGCTGGGGGAAGTAAAGGAACCACTAAGGTTTGAGGTATATCATATATTCACTACATTTAGTCATAGAATCAATTTTGGGAAGCCCCTTCAACTCCTCAGTACTACAAAAAATACCAAAAATAGGAATAAAAACATGAATCAGTTGTATCATCAGTATCAATACTAATGACAAAGATAGAGAACTGCCTGGACATAAAGTAAGATGTGGTAGCCTGGATAGCATAGAGAACTGGAAGCCATGGAATGCAATAGAATAACCCATATCATACATGCCATGTTCACTTTTGCCAACTTTCTTAAACTAGTCCATACACTGGAAAGATGGTAACATACCCTCTATGCCGAGGAACACCATCCCTGTGTCCTGTAATCAAACACACATCTTAGTCATTAAGGCAACAAAAGGACAGTCATCAAATAACTTAATAAGGCTAACAAAAACCCATGAAAATATGTTTTGCCCAGTATCACAGCATCCATGCTTCTTACCTGCAGCTGACAGTCTCTTGACAAACAACCCCTCCTCACGAAACCCTCCAGACTCTTCCTTCATCAGGGGTTGGAAGTACAGGGAGTAAAGCTGCCAACAGGGAATAGCAGAGTACTGACTACATTATACATGGCATTTATTTGCAAAGTAATTTTTTTAAGTTTCAACTTATTCTTGAATGTAACTTAGTATACAGCTTTATACCATGCAAGGCTGTTGTATATTTGACAAAGATGCTTTCTTATTTTTGTCATAGCTTTTGAAGATAATTGTTATTTGCTATACTTTTAGACCAGTACAGTGCACTACATGTCTAAATAGATGTCCTTTTGTTTTAAATTAATAAATTCAGGTGGGTGATGTGATAATTACTGGTATCATACATTTAAGTGTTTCTATATTTCAACTTTTTTTCTGAAATATGTATAGTAAATTAATCATACTATCCCAGAGCAGAAGTACACAGCTGTAAGATATAGTGTACCATGATCACATTCTTGGTTTTGTCACAGACTCCAGCAACATGCGGAAATGGTTCCACAGGCCTTCCCAGCATGCACTGATACAACCAGCGAAGGATGCTGGGAGGCCTGTTTTGGAAGGAAGAGGAGAACTGGAGCTGGTTCTTGGCACCTACAGAGGAAAGAAGAGTTCTTGAGGGTTCTTTGTTTTGCACGGTGTAACAACACCTGGTAAAGCACAGTGGAATCTTGTCTTTCAGAGTACTAATGTTTGACTTTTGGAAAATGCTGGTTACTTTCGTGAGTTTGAAAGTCTAATTAACTTCAAATTAAAATCAAATACCTCTATGATCATTCAGATAAAAAAGAAAACAGGCCTAAATGACCTAAACTGAAAATACCATAGCATAACACATGTATGTAAGTAATACCTACTTTGACTGATGTTACTGGGAGCGACAGCATAAATACCCACAGAGGGGAAGTCTCTGCAGTAGTGGTCGATATAAGCCTCAAGACCCAAATCACTGGGGACAGAATCAGCAAGGTTAGTAATCCTACTTCCTATGACTGAGGTATCCTGTTGACAAACCTACCAAGCAAAAACATGCCCTCATGGCTGGGGTAAAAAACATTTAATAGCGATGCTTAAATTCGTAATAAGGAGTAAAACAATGGATCTCAGATCAGGAGGATTCTTGTTACCTTGCCAACTGACACAGCATGGCTGCAATCTGCTCCAGCTCAGGGTGGGACAAACCATGCAGCTTCTGGTCCTGGAAAATATACACAACCCATCTTTCTTTCACAGAGGTCCTGGAGCCAAACTATAATTTTACATGCATGTTTCAAGGCTACTGAAATCCTAACCTCCTTGTTAAGAGTTACTAGCCTTCACTTACTTCATACACAAGATGTAGAGCAGACAGCACCAGGGGCATGTGGGGGAACAGACTGTCGGATGGGTCCAGAACGGGCGTGGCCGGCTCCTGCATCTCCACGTCGTCACGGATACAGAGCGGGCCCTCCGTTTTCAGGGTCAGGGCGTCGCGTACACGCGGGGACAGGCTGTGGTGGTAGGTGGAGCTCAGGAGGTAATCCCAGTCCTGAGGAATGGAGCAAAGAAATAAAGATGTGCCATACATTGTAACAGGCAGATGCAGCATACAATAAGGTGGAGATTCTGATTATGATAAGGCAAAGCTCAGAAAGTAATCCAGGCCTGGGGTACAGAAAGCAACAACAACAACACTGTATCACAGCAGAAAAGTGGTCATTCCCTTACTGGTCATTACAGGATGGACATAGAAAACATAATATACAAGGCATAATGGAATCAGAATAATTGTACTTACCTCATTGCTGCCCTGTTCTGAGGAACGAGCCTTCTTGGCTGCAATGACCGGTGACATAGAGCTGTTCAACTCAGACTGGAGGGGAGAGCAACACAGGCTTTATCTAAATAATTTCCTTTTTTTGCAATAAAAAAAACTTTCCTTTACATCCAGTAACAAGTACGGCTTCCAACATGTTTCCCATATGATTTTGAAAATGACCATCCAAACTGAAAGTGTTCAGTGAGACTAACCCTGAGGTTGGGGTTGGTGAGAGACAGTCGCCCTGTGTTGTATCCCATCATGCTCAGCAGACAGCTGACAAACAGGCTCCATTCTGATTGGCTGGGGGATCCAGGGGCATTGTGGGTAGTGTACCACTTCACAAACAGCTGTACAGCAATGTCCTTAGGAAGCAGTGTCCTCAAAGCTGCCAGACAGGCTTTCACTGGAAATACCATATATAAACATTTAAAGTGTCACAGCCTCCCATTTCTGATTATTTTTCTTAAATTTCTTATTTCTGGAGGGTAATTTTAGCCACTAGACTTGAAGATAATAACACACTACATAACATACTTATATTTCTTCTGTTATTTCTGTTAATTCTATATTTTCATTAATTATAATTATATTAGCAACCAGGATGCTAATGATTTTTCTACCATTGAAAGGTCTATAAGGTACATTGAAAGGTCTACAAGTTTACAGGTGGGAATGCTTACCAAGAGGAGATGCTGCCATCTCTGGAATAGACGTGCTGCAAAGTTTCCCATTATTCAATTCCTGTACAAGTAACAGAGAAGAACATCTAAGAGCTCTACATCATTGTATGCAGTTCCAGAAACAGACTGTGTTGTTTGTATGTTTAATTTGCTGATCTAGACACCAAGAGCGAGGAGTGTCTTTTGGTTACATGTCAATAGTTAACAAAAGGAAAAGCCACAAAGAACTTTCTCTGACCAGAGTGAACCTGTTGGCCACAGGATCCCTGACATGGTTGATGTGTATGCCGGTGTGGAAGGAGAAGTCATCGCTGAAGGTGGAGCCCTGGAGCTTGGAGGAGTTTCCCAACTCTGGTACTGGGGACAGGAGAACTACCTAGATTGGGGAGTTGGTGGCGATGCTTAATGTTTGTACTACATATTCTAATGTTATGTTAACAAAAGTTAGACATCCAAGTGAACAATACTTGTTAGTAACAGAATAAACTTATTACAAATGCATACTAAGCACACTGTGACAGACAAAACATTAAAGGAAAAATCACACATATTGATAGGAGTATAAAGATAGACTTGCTGTGTGATGGCAAATCTGGAATACAATTGGTAAACAAGTGTACTATGTCCTTATGGATTTTTACTAGACATGCAACAAACAAACAAACAAACAAACACGATATGACCCCACCTCCTCGTGTATGTTCATGGCGCTGGGTGCCCGGCTGGAGGTGCCTGGTACCGGACTATCCAGTGGAGTGCCGGCCCGAGGGAGAGAGGTGGAGAGGGACAGGCCATGGCTGGTGCTGAGGCTGGCCAGGTAAACCTTACCTACCTACAGGGGCAGGGGGTGTTCATAAACTATACACAACAACGACCAATCTGAATATGGTCAGACACTAGTGTGTTTACCAGGTAATGCAGGTATCATACAAATGAAGACTCCTCGTAAGAGGAAACAACTTTCCAGCATACAGGGATATGGTAAAATCAGTCTCACCCTTAATCAGTCTCAGCCTTACAAATTTTGTCAATGTGTTTTACACTCGTTTTATGTTTTTGAGTAGAAGGTGTTATATAAGCAACCTGTGCTTCTTGCCCAATACTCAATAAATATATGTGAATAAAAAAAAGCCTACAGGGATACAGGTGGAGGTGATAGGTAGACTCAATGGTAACTCAATTTGGAAATGCTTCTGGGTTTTGGAAGCACTAATTTCTGATTGCTACTGCATTCTGAATTTCAGATGCGAGAAATAGACAAAATAGTGGTAAGAAGCCATACTAGCAGGTATTCTTGTCATTCTTAATATGGAAAGCCACTAGATGTTTGGAAAATTTCATTGGAACTTTGACCCACCTTGCTTGTTCCAGTATACAACACAACACTTCCATGTAGATCCAACACTATCATCATATTCAGACTCTGTCACAAAGAGGACAAAGACTGAAATCAGTCTATGGAACATATTGACACAGTTTCAAGTTGTATTTGTTGTGCATCTTGCAGCCTACATTTTGTTGCTCAACTTTTCCTACATAGGTTTTTACATGCAATTGCAAAATCAAATCACAGCATTAAACTCGACCAACACAATATGGCATTTCTACAATTAATTTAGTATCTGCATAAATCCCTTTCAACAAGGAAAAAGGAAAGAAATCAGCCTGACCTGTAATGCTATGGCATCCCTGGCACTGATCTTGGTAATGGCACCAAAGATGAGCTGTCTGTTGTCATTGCTTGGCTCAAACTTCACACATCTGACAGAAAAAAGTTTATAATAATGATGGCTATGTTCCCTTTGACAGTTCAAGATAATGTAATATAGATAATAATTAGTATGGAAATTGTCAAGTAGGGAAATCCACATTTCCTAAAATCCTACTATGGTAACATGTTCTTGATTAATCTAACATATCCTTTACTATTCATAGAAGTGCCCATTACATTTGCTACCATATTCCTCAAATAAGAAGTCCTATGAAGTATGCATCTCTAGTACTTCTGAAACGTATACTAAACCAGACAGCAGTGGCTAACCTGAGCTCATGCTTCTTGTCTATCAAATAACAGAGGAACTTCTGTCTGCAAACATCTGACATCAGGAATGCCTTGGAGGCCTGGCCCTGAACACCATCCCTGGGAAAACAGGTAAACATTACCATCACAACGATGTATTTCTGCAAGATTGTCTCTATCATGTCACTAGATATTGTAAGAGAACTTCCAGTGTAGAAAGTGTAATCCTGTGTTTGCATGCATCTGTTAGCTTGTAGTAATGTAGTGTATAAAATTCATACATTCACAAATACATGTACCAAGAACAAGTCCAATGGAAGTACAGGGTATAAGTTTCTCATGAGTATGTAGAAGTGAAGCAGTCTCACCTTCTCCCTGTCATAGTCTCTGTCCAGACATGGTCCATGCAGACCTCAGGTGTGAGGGGCGTCGGCATCTCCAGGTACGACTCAAAGGTGCGTCCAGGTGAGGCGAAGCTGCAAGAGGAGGCCGGGGTTCTGGCCATGTTTGCGGGCGATCGTGAGACCCACGGGGAGGAGATGGAGTAGCTGAGAGATTTGGAGGAACTGCTGTTGTTTGGTGCTGGGGACTGACAGCGGCTACAGATAGAGAAATCAACATGTATCATGATCCAGTTAAGTTCACTAGAAAGACAAGTCTAAGCAACAACACAGGCAAACACTACTTCAATATGTCAGTACCTGAGAGTGGCCATGTGACTGAGAACAGCCGGTGAGTGAGACCTTGACGATAAGCCTGGCGTACTTGGTCGGCTGTAGGTCCTGTACGCGGGCGACAGGCTCGGAGACTGGCTCAGACTGAGGCGGGACTGCGTACTGGAGCTCAGGCCTGCCAGTGGGGTGGTCACATGATGAGAGCTGGGCATGCTGGGAATGGTGGAGGTGTCTCCGTAGTGAGTGCTGGACAGACCTGCAACTTCCTGAAAATACAACATACCATATACTGACTTCCAAAATGTTTTCAATAGAAATACACTGTATAGAAGAAATTTATATTTATATCTGATAGCACTAGAAAATTCAAATAAGCATGCTTCTCTTGCTTGCTAATGGATGTACATTGTACTTTCATCATCATCACCATTGTCATCATGTCTGTAATTAAACCACACTTGAACGTTGTCAAGGCTAAAGTAGGTAAGAAATAAATAAAGACCTTTTAATCAAAATTTTGTCTTGACACGTTTTGGTAAACTGTACAGGCTTAATAAAAATATCTCTTAATACACACCTCGCTCTTAGCTGTCCTCAGAGCCCAGACAGAGTGGACACCCAGAACTGTGTCATAGGTCATCACGAGAGAGGGGTCAGCACTGGTAAACACCACATGCTGCATGGGGTCATTAACATACGATAGTTTCCCAACACCAAGCGGCCCTCCGTACTTGCAGACAACCGGGCATAACTCGTCCAGTGGGTGACACATGCTGAACAGCTTGGGTAAGGCCTCCGAGCCCCTGGTTGGGAAGTTCAGATATGGTGAACATGACATCTAGCAGATCACAAAGGTACTGCATCATGTCATTCCTCAGAGAAGTTCATTTCAATCTACTAGTACATGTACATTGTAACATAATGTTGTATGTAACCTACTTGTTTTATCAGACTATGACTGGAATTGACCATTAGTATAATATTCAGAAAAATAACCTAGCCAAATAAAAAATTCATTGATACACACCTTTTAGGACTAGTTATTTCTGCCTCTGAGATACTCCTTTCAAACAGTAGCCCATATTTAGTAGACCATGTGTGTTGTGCCTGTAGGGATATCCAAGAAAAAAGATGGGAAGATATCCTGCCAATATGCCTGTAAGGTGTGACAAAGTCTAAACATGTAGTCAGGAGAGATTCCCTATAGTGCTACATGTTGCGCTTTGAAAAAGGAATTGCCGAGTATGTAATACAAAAACGATGTTTGAGGCATCGTACGTCACCTGAAACTGCAGTGGTGCAATGTACTCCTCCCCCTCCTTGGTGTAGATGTTGACACAGCTAGTCTCCACAACAGCAATACCTGACATCACTTTTTTATCTATGGAACAGTCAGACAGCAATGATCAGATTCAGATACAAATACTAGTATAGGTATATAAACCAGTGCATCACAACAATAATATCTTCCTCTACAATCTATGAATAAAAAATGATTTAAGTTGAGTTAAATGTGACTGAAAGTGAGTCTTTTACCGAGACACTTTTCTCACCTGACTTCTTGACTGGTTTGTTTGCCTCCATACGAGAAAATTCAAATCTGCACCACAAGGCCTGCAGTGGATGGAGTGGAGAGGTGAACATAACAACATCACAAACTAGTATGGGTAATGATCATCTTCAAAGTGACTGAACCAAGTAGAGCCATACCTTGACCATGTTTTTAAGAGTATTGTCATGCCAGTGTCCAGTAACTTACACAATGTTACTCAGATTGTACTCACATACTCTGATGTGATGTGTTATGCCACGTGACAGTTTTCTTAACAAGTGGTAGACACAAGTTCTCATGACATACCTCCTGGACTGGTGAAGGAACAGTGAATGACCTGATGACCATCCTGGTGGCACTCTGTCCTCCCCTGCTCCATACCACAGTGTTCCCCCTGGTGTACAACTCCTCATCACACACCTCCCCATCCCCACCAGCCTGCAGGGTCCATAACTCCTTCTGATGGGGGAAAATAACAAGCATGTCACACTCTAATGTCTACTCCTCTGAATTGAGTTTGAGTTTTAAGCTTTGTTTATGGTCATGACAGCTTTCTTTGTGGTTCTTCATTCTGGAAAAATCTTAGACGAGTGAGTTGTGGGTCATTAAACCTGAGAAAGGAGGTGCAGGCATCCTAAAATATGGTGAATCAGTATTACTTTGTTATTGAGGTATGAGTAACGTTCCTTTAATCATTATGTACAAACTCATTAACTAGAGACTGTAAGAAATACTGGACCCCAAATATCTCTTTTCTTACAATATATGAGGTTTAACATCCCGTCACCTATTTACATACCACATCCTTCAACAAAGCCCTGGTAAAAATCCCCACCTTGGGCGTGTCTGCCATGGAAACCTCGCTGAATGACTTGATGGGAACACCGTGTTCCCGGATGGACGTGCCGTCCAGCGTTCTGGTGGGGGAGGGCGGTGCGAAGCCATCAGGGTGGCAGGAGGTGTACTCACGGCCGAAGGGCACAAACTCCTGTGGTTCCGATGCTGAGATGATCATCTTGTGGACGTCTCTTTGTGTTTTGACAGTCTAAATTATGTACGGAATCCGGCCTGGTAGAAAAGTGCAATATCAAGGAGGTTAGGGACTATGTGGTACTTTTACTAAGGTGCTACGTGTTACCGTACACAAGACAGGGAACTAAGGGAAGGAAAGGAGTAGTAGTCCTGTCCTGGTGCTGTTCCATAAATTCATAATCTCCATAATTGTGCCCCCCTCCCCATCACAACGTGCCGTAGTTGACAAAACTCGTCAGAGTAAAAAGACCTAATTTTGCTAATTCATGTCACGGATTAACATTAGTATGATCCAGCTATGGCTTCGTCCTTCTTAAGTTCTTACTTCTGAAAACGTAGCAGCAAATACAGGTAATTTTCTCACCTGAACATCAGTTCAAATTTGGAGCAGCCATATTTTCCCGCGATCCAATCTGAGAGTTGTGCGCAGCGTTCTGCGCAGTGGGGTCAGCGACCCGGAAGTGAACCTGCGAGGAAATGGTAACGGGAGCATGTAAAGTGTACTATATATGTTAATTTTAATAGAATAGATAATTAGTACATTAAGTATAAATTCAAATTATTTATTCCCATATATTAAATTAATTCGTTAGATCTCCAAATTTATATGGTAGAATAATGTAGAAAGCTGTAGAATCATGTAGGTTCATGAAGAATCATGTAGATACATGAAGAATCATGTATAAACCTGTAGAATCATGTAGATTCATGAAGAATCATGTAGAAACCTGTAGAATCATGTAGAAACCTGTAGAATCATGTAGATTCATGAAGAATCATGTAGATACATGAAGAATCATGTAAAAAGCTGTAGAATCATGTAGAAACCTGTAGAATGATGTAGAAACCTGTAGAATCATGTAGATTCATGAAGAATCATGTAGAAACCTGTAGAATCATGTAGAAACCTGTAGAATCATGTAGATTCATGAAGAATCATGTAGAAACCTGTAGAATCATGTAGAAACCTGTAGAATCATGTAGATTCATGAAGAATCATGTACAAACCTGTAGAATCATGAAGAAACCTGTAGAATCATGTAGATTCATGAAGAACCAAGTAGAAACCTGTAGAAAGCTGTAGAATCATGTAGATTCATGAAGAATCATGTAGATACATGAAGAATCATGAAGAATCAAGTAGAAACCTGTAGAATCATGTAGAAACCTGTAGATTCATGTAGATTCATGAAGAATCATGTTGAAACCTGTAGAATCATGTATATACCTGTAGAATCATGTAGATTCATGAGGAATCATGTAGAAACCTGATAAATCATGTAGAATCATGAAGAATCATGTAGAAACCTGTAGAATCATGTAGAAACCTGTAGAATCATGTTGATACATGAAGAATCATGAAGAATCGTGTAGAAACCTGTAGAATCATGTAGATACATGAAGAATCGCGTAGAAACCTGTAGAATCATGTAGATATATGAACAATCATGTAGAAAAGTGTAGAATCATGTAGAAAGCTGTAGAATCATGAAGATACACGAAGAATCATGTAGAAACCTGTAGATTAATGTAGACTCATAAGGAATCATGTAGAAACTTGTAGAATCATGTAGAAACTTGTAGAATTATGTATAAACCTGTAGATACATGAAGAATCATGTAGAAACCTGTAGAATCATGTAGAAACCTGTAGAATCATGTAAAAAGCTGTAGAATCATGTAGAAACCTGTAGAATGATGTAGAAACCTGTAGAATCATGTAGATTCATGAAGAATCATGTAGAAACCTGTAGAATCATGTAGAAACCTGTAGAATCATGTAGATTCATGAAGAATCATGTAGAAACCTGTAGAATCATGTAGAAACCTGTCGAATCATGTAGATTCATGAAGAATCATGTAGAAACCTGTAGAATCATGTAGAAACCTGTAGAATCATGTTAAAACCTGTAGACTCATGTAGATACATGAAGAATCATGTAGAAACCTGTAGAATCATCTAGAAACCTGTAAAATCATGTAGAAGCCCGTAGAATCATGTAGATACATGAACAATCATGTAGAGAAGTGTAGAATCATGTAGAAACCTGTAGAATCATGTAGATTCATGAAGAATCATGAAGATACATGAAGAATCATGTAGAAACCTGTAGAATTATGTAGAAACCTGTAGATTAATGTAGATTCATGAAGAATCATGTAGAAACCTGTAGAATCATGTAAAAACCCGTAGAACCATGTAGAAACCTGTACAATCATGTAGAAAGCTGTAGAATCATGTAGATTCATGAAGAATCGTGAAGATACACGAAGAATCATGTAGAAACCTGTAGATTAATGTAGACTCATGAAGAATCATGTAGAATCTTGTAGAATCATGTAGAAACTTGTAGAATCATGTATAAACCTGTAGATACATGAAGAATCATGTAGAAACCTGAACAATCATAAAGATTCCTGAAGAATCATGTAGATACATGAAGAATCTCGTAGAAACCTGTAGAATCATGTAGAAACCTCTAGAATCATGTAGATTCATGAAGAATCATGTAGAAACCTGTAGAATCATGTATAAACCTGTAGAATCATGTTGATTCATGAAGAATCATGTAGAATCGTGTAGAATCATGTAGAAACCTGTAGAATCAAGTAGAAACCTGTAGAATCATGTAGATTCATGAAGAATCATGTAGATACATGAAGAATCATGTATAAACCTGTAGAACCATGTAGATTCATGAAGAATCATGTAGAAACCTGTAGAATCATGTAGAAACCTGTAGAATCATGTAGATTCATGAAGAATCATGTAGATACATGAAGAATCATGTATAAACCTGTAGAATCATGTAGAAACCTGTAGAATCATGTAAAGACCTGCAGAATCATGTAGAAACCTGTAGAATGATGTAGAAACCGGTAGATTCATGTAGATTCATGAAGAATCATGCAGAAACCTGTAGAATCATGTAGATTACATGAAGAATCATGTAGATTCATGAAGAATCATGTAGAAACCTGTAGAATCATGTAGAAACCTGTAGAATCATGTAGATTCATGAAGATTCATGTAGATTCATGAAGAATCATGTAGAAACCTGTAGAATCATGTAGATTCATGAAGAATCATGTAGATTCATGAAGAATCAT